CTCTTTTGTGTGAAATGGGCTTTGTTTAAATGGCTCATTCTCTGCAGCACATGTGCAGAGGATAGTTCTGCTTCTGATTCTATTAATAAAAGTAGTGGCTACCACCAAGTAAAAGGCCTCACTCTGTGCGGGGCACTCAGTGAGCTCTTCAAATGTTTTATATCATGTGATCCTCATCACATCAGTCCTTAAAAGGATTGTGGTGGTTTTCACAGATGAGGAACCTGAAGCCGAGGTAAGGCAGCTTGACCTCAGTTACACAATGAGTCGTTAGCAGAGCCAGGACTCGAGTCTTGGTCTGTCCACCTGCAGACTGTACCACCCCCCTCCCATGCAAGTCTGCAGCCACTCCCTTTCTCCCACTCTGGGCCTTGACATCCCTGCCTGTGCCAGAGGCTGGCAGGTGCTACCTTTCCCAGGGCATGTGGCCCCTGTGTGAAGAGAGAGCAGTATCCGATTCCTGTGAAGATGGATGATGGGTCACCAAGGGGAGGGATTTGGGACTAACTCTGTACTTCTACCAAAATGTCAAACTGACAAGTTCCAAGTCTCCACTGTCGAATTCTAAGTTTCTTAACTGGGGACTATGTATGGCTGGGCCTCAGGGGGCCTGTGAGCCCTCTGAGATGGTATGTAGAATGTTCTGTTGCTGGGGTGGGTAGGGCAGAGTTGCCTTCTGTGCTCTTTTATGAGGACATTGCTTTTTATGGGAACCATGGCTCTCGGGACACTCTCAGGTTGGTTCTGTTCCTGACATGTTAGGAACCTCTGTACGGCTTGCAGTGGGGTATAACATTGGTTTTACCTAAATTTAGTACAAACTCGGTCTTATCCCAGGAAACTCTTAGATTTTCCCCCCAAAAAAGAACATTTAAACAAAAAATTTTAAATATCTTTTTTTTAACCCTCACCTGAGGATATACTTTTTTAGTATTGTTTTTGGGGGGAGAAGGAGTGTAGAGGAGAGACATTGATGTGAGAGAGACATCGATCAGTTGCCTTCCATATGCGCCTTGAGGGGGTCAAACCCACAACCTAGATATGTGCCCTGACCTGAAATCAAACCTGCAGCCTTTTTGGTGTAAGGGACTATGCTCCCACCAACTGAGCCACCCAGCCAGGGTTCAAATATAATCTCTGAGGGCAGAAATGCCACTGTGTGTGACGCTGTGATTTCCACCGCCTCCTTAGAGGTGTCAGCCAACAGAGGGTGTGATTCCTCTCTGGGGCTGATTCCATAGCTGTCCTACTTCCTGGATTCAATTAAAATGTTATTGGTGTAAGTAAGAGACAGACAAAATGACCCTTGAACTTTTTAGAGTGGGGACTATGTCTCTATTCATTAAGTATTTTCATGCTTACTCTGGGTCAGGCATTCAGAATTTTGCAATGAATAAGAGTTCCTGCCCTATGGAGTTTGCATATTGTGACCTGTATACATCTTTGTATTCTAATGCCTACAAAGAACATTGCCCATAGCTGTGCTCAGTTGTTGGGTAAATAAATACCCCTACTGCATCCTGATTATAGATTTAAAGGATGGCCATTGGCTTTGATTTGTTCAGTATCTGATTATTGGAGTCCCGATTGTGTTGTAGGCATTAAACTGGGCACTGGAGATATGGTGGTAAGCAAAGCAGATGAGGCCTGCTTCCTACTGGGAAGACAGACAAGTAAGTAAGCACATAAGTAAATAATTGTGGACTTGGACAGGTGCATGAAGGAATTGCCCTGATGTCATGAGAATATATAAGGAAAGACCTGCCTGATGGGGAAAGGAGGTGTCAGGGAAGGGTTCCTAATGAAGTGATGTTGGAGAGCTCATTTGAGAGGTGAAGAGGGTGTGGGCCTGTGCAGGCAGAGGGGCCAGGCTTGCATTGGACGCTCACTTTGTTGCCATTTCCATTCAGAGGAAAGGTAGATGTAAAGGATGGTCAATGTAATTCATCATTTCTGTGCACTCTGTGTGGGCAGGGGATGAGGGAGAAATGTTCTGACCTGGAGACTGATAATGAGTCAGGCAGGCGAGAGGTGGGTGCTGGTCTCTCTGGGTGCAGCTTCATGTGGAGGCTGCATTGGTGCCTCTGCTGCTGGTGCCTCTCCATTCCCCATTGCGGCGTCAGGAATCAGCCTTCTTTGTGGGGTCTGTGCCTCAGAGACAGCCTGAACTAGTTGGCTCTGGTGTGCAGCCATCCATGCTCTGAGAGGCAGGGTCAGTGTGAGCCCATGATAAGCAGTGTTGCTTTTACTTATTTTTGTTTGTGATGGGGTTGGTGGGTAAGGGTTTAAGGGAGGGAGGGAGTAAGAAGGAAACAGAACCAGTGAGGCTGAGCAGTGGGAAGGGAGCCTGAGCCAGTGAGAAAGTCTGGGCCACAAGCTCCGCGGAAGAGGGAGCTTTGCCTGTGTTCAGTCCTGGTACAGAAGCCCAGAGTCATTATGAGAGTTCTTTCTAACAGCATGTACTTTGTATACTTAATTATAAAAGCACCTTATGCTCACTGCAGAACACTTGAAAAACATGGGAAATGCATAAAGAAATGCCCATATCCTGTCACGAAAATCTAAGAATCCATGAGATAACCAAATGTAGAGGGTCCAGCATTTATCAGGTGCTCGTTAGACACGCACAGCTGTGCCAGTGTTGAGGGAGAACCAGCCCTTTAGTCTGAGAACGAGGCTTTTATAATTAGGGGTAATGAAATGTAGAAGACATTATTTTGTAATTAGCCTTTTAAAATGTATGTTTATAGGAAAAAATTGTTAATTCTTCCTTGCCCCTGCATGAGAATGAAAGTTGGAGAATCCTGAAGATTTGTGAGAATGTTCTGTAGGATTTAATGTCAGTTCTTTTTTTTTCTTTTTTTAAATGAAGCACTAAGGGGAGACTCGTAACCAGTCCCTCCTTGTTATTTACCACACTGACAGCAGAGAGTGCTGGGAGGTGGTTTTTGCCTCCCACACATCTCCTTTAGTTTCTGTTGCTCCACTATTGATCTGTTAGGATAGTTTATACACTTATTGATCATGCAGATGTTTTATTTAGGTGCTTTCTTTGTGAATGACATCTATATGTATAAAAGCCTAAGTGACTGTTATGACTGGACGACTGGCCGGTAGCTATGATGTGCACTGACCATCAGGGGGCATACGTTCAATGCAGGAGCTGCCCCCTGGTGGTCAGTGTGCTCCACAGCCAGCCTCCTGCAGCCGGCCAGCCTCCCTCGGTCCCTCCCCGGTCCCTCCCCCCGGCTGGCCGAGGTCCCTTCCCCCCCCAGCTGGCTGGCCCAATCGGCCCTGATCACCAGCCAGGCCAAGCAACCCCACCTGTGCATGAATTCGTGCACCGGGCCTCTAATGTACAATAAAAGTTTACCCCGGCATTGGCCTTAAACCGCTGAAGATCTGAGTTTAAAGATGTCACTCCCCCACTTGTAGCCTCACCCCCAAGTGTTTAATGGACATTTCTATAACTGTAGCCAGGGCGCAGTGCTGTGTGCTTGGTGGCCTCCCCTTGGGCGGCAGCCAGACTCCAGGATCAGCTCTGGTTGAAGCAGACATCAACATCCCGAGGAGCACAGGGGTCTACAGAGTTGGTGGGAGGGGGAACACCAGCAGCACGAGTGAGGTGGGACAGAGAATTGGAGGCACTGCAGACTTGGGCCTGTCCCATCCCCTGTAGGTCTCAGTTTCTTCATCTATAAAATGAGAAAAGTTGGACTAGACAAGCTTGGAGTTTCCTCATTGCCTGGAACTGGCAGCTGAAATTTGTAAGGCAGCATGGTGCTCATTCTTGAAGCTTTGGGAAGGGATGAGCGTTAGCTTGTAATCATTCCTTAAGTTGCATATACCTGTTTTATCACTTTTCTATTTCTTATACTTTATAATTCTTAAAAATATAATTTTAAAAACACCAAAGAGAATGGGTTAGTGGTTTAGAGGAAGGAATAAAACAAAAGACTAAGGGTTGTGTCTTGAGGATGCCCTTGGATATGGTCCAGATTGAAGAAAGAAAAGGGTTAACGAGTAAAAGGGGAAACAACCTGTTCGGGAGGAGAGCTAAGAAAGGAAGGGAGAAAGGATCTCCTCGAGAGGAGAGGAGTGGGTTGGTCATGGTAAAGCATGAAAGTCAAGAGATTTGAAGTCTAGTTGGGAAGAGAGAGAATGCACTGGATGGAGTGAAAAAGAAACCACTCTGTGATCTTCAAGAGGATATTTTATAAAGAGTAGTTAGAGCAGGAGCTTGACTTAGAGAGATTACAGAGAGGCCCTGAAGCAGTGGAAGTGACGGGTATAGACCTGTGGTTGGCAGTGGTTGTTGGTAAGAAAAAGCTTGAGAGAAAGAGGACAGTAGTTTGATGGGGCAGAAGAGCAGCCAAGTAGAGTGGTCAGCAGAGCTGTGTGTTGAAGGACAGAGAATTGTGCCTGTTTGATAGCACAGGAGCTAGTAGAGAGGAAAGTTGACAGATGGTAGGACAGTGAGATGGCTGTAGCTAGACCTCGGGTGGAGTCGAGCTGCCTGGGTTCAAATCCCAGATCTGCCAGCCCCTCACTGAGTGACCTTGGTCAAAGTACGTAACCTCCTTATACCTCAGTTAAGTTGTATATAAAATGAGGAGGAGGAGGATAAAGAATACTGTACGTGAGGGCAGAGATTTGAAGCCTCTTGTAGCCATGCTGGTGGGTGCTAGGTAAGATGGGGATGGGGATGGGGATGATGATAGGGACAGTGGGACAGGCTCAGATAGGAAGAGCTCTCTGTCGGTGGCCCTCCTAACACTTAGTAAACACTGTGAGCCAGTTATCCCCAACAGAACCCTGGACACAGTAGCCATTGAGTGAGAATTCCGGGTCCTGGACGGTGCCCCATTCTGATGATTTCCCTCCCAAATTAGGAAATAACATTTTCATAGTGACTGGGGACAGCCCTGTCCTTAGTGAAGTCCCTGAAGTGCCCACCGCTTTCTGATACTTTTTAACTCATGCTGTGGTTTATCCTACAGATTAGTCAGAAGAAGTTGAAAAAATATGAAAAGGAATATCACACCATGAGGGAACAGCAGGCCCAACAGGAAGACCCCATCGAACGATTTGAGGTTCGCCTTTCATTTCATATCATTGTGCCTGTAACAGCCTTGTTGCGTTCCTTTTAAAATTCAGTGCTACTGTTTCTAGATTCAAGTTTCAGTTTGAGTTTGCAAATAAGAAAACAAAGTTTGTTTTGCTTAAAACCAGCGGCCTAGTTTGTTACAGTTCGGTGGCATTTTGGCACCGTTAATAAGACATAGTTACTTGACGAGGTCACTTATCAGTTAAGTTTTTCTGAAATTATTGATTGGTAGCCCATTAGGACCAGCTACATCTCCCACAATTTCCATAGGACTCAAGGGAGTTTTGAAGGTTAGCCCTGAAAAACTGTCATTTTCATCTGATTTTTATGTGTCTGTAACTGGTTTCTTTTAATCTTTCAGCGGGAGAATAGGCGTTTACAAGAAGCGAACATGAGGTTGGAACAGGAAAATGATGACTTAGCCCACGAGCTGGTGACCAGCAAGATCGCGCTGCGCAAGGACCTGGATAACGTGAGTCTGACTCGGCTGCAGGGAGAGATTGTGTTCAACACTGACTTCTCCTTAATCACGTGAAATTACTGTGTGTGTTGTTCTGGTTAATTACCCTCCTTTGAGGGTACAGCTCTTGCCAGCATTCCTTCCCCCTCTTCCTACAGGGGTTAGTGATGAGCTCAGGAAGCCTTCCTTAAGTCCTTGAACTTCTTCCCAAACGTCGTTTGATTGAGAGACTTCTGGCTCGTTCTCATGCTGCCACAGTTGGCAGTAGCATTTAATCTCTGTGATTTTCTTCACCTCCCCCTAAAACAAGAAGAGACTTTGTTTCTTGCATATTCTGTGCCTGTTGACTGAGCGCTGCCGGTTATAACAAAGCCCGGTGCCCAGGATGCTTGATTTCATCAGGAATTTCTGTTGGCAGATAGGCCGTCTTTCTTTGCTTCTCCCAATCTTGAGTTTGAGGTGATGGCTTTTCTGACGGGCATTTGTCCATTCTCTCTACCACAGGCCTCCCTTAGAAGAAGTGTAGTCTCTCATTCAGGGTTTAGGTCAGAGGTTGCAAGCTTTTTCTGTAAAGGGATAGATAGTAAATATCTTAGGTTCTGTGGGCCATGTGGTCTCTGTCACGACTCTTCAGCTTTGCCACTGGTGCAGAACTAGCCACACATAGATAGTAAGTAAACGAATGAGCATGGCTGTTTGCTTATGATAAAACCTTATTTGTAAGAACCAGCGGATTTGGTGCATCGGCCAGAGTTTACCAGCACCTGACTTCGGTAGGTTTCCCTGTCAGGCTCCTAAGATTACTGTCCTGCTCATAGGTTTCCTGATGTTCTAGAAAGAGGCTCAGGCTGCTGAGGGTTAAGAGGGGACTTACATGATACAGTGTACCAGTAGTGTCTGTGACCCATGAGGCCCTTGCTCCACCGAATGTGTGTGAAAATGTTGTGCACTGCTGTATTCCTCACTGCCCGCTGTGGTGCCACAGTCGTTCATTCCTCGGTGTCCGGGGACTGTCCGTGTCAGGGACTCATACCATTTTCACTGGGACCCACAGGTCTGCCCTCCAGACCTTTGCGTGTCTTAGGAGAAACGGGTGGAGGATCGCCATTAATGGAATAAAAACAGGAAAGGGGTGGCTTCCTTTATCAGGTGACAAGGAGACCAAAATGTGGAACTTGTTTGATGAAGCAGAGGAAATACTGAGAGTTTAGAGGAAGAAAACCAGAATTTATTATAACTGAGAGTTAAGTTAGGGTTTTCCAAAATGCTGACATGCCGAGCTCAAAAGGTTCGCCATCACTGTGCTAGACACTGTGCTTAGTTAGTCCTTCCCACACTTCATCCCTCAGATGAAGAGCGAGGCTCAGACAGGCTTTCCATGACCTGGCCAGTGGCACATGGTCAGGGAACGATGGGATGGAGCCTAGGCTACCCGAGGCCAAAGGCTGTGCTCCTGACCAGTGCCTTTCCCGACCTCAGAGCCAGCACTTGGGCACGAGCCTCGTCTCCGTGCGACCGTGGGCGTATCGTCTCTCCTGTCCCCATCACAGTTCCCCTTAAAATGGGATTGTGCTGGGTGATTCAGAACCCTTCAGCTCTCAGTTCTTGTCACTAACAGCATCTCTTAAATGTTTCAGGCTGAGGAAAAGGCAGATGCACTGAATAAGGAGCTGCTTATGACCAAACAGAAGTTGATTGATGCAGAAGAAGAGAAAAGACGGCTGGAAGAGGAGTCTGCTCAGGTAAGGGAGCTTCGCCCGCCCATGGCCCTCTGTGTCCTGCAGACGCTTGATGGTGGGAGTGTGGCTGGAGGCTTCCTGTTGGCACTGGAGAAGCTGGGACAGCTGGCTTCAGTTTCCGTGAGCCTTTTTAATGTACCGTGTAAAGCGTAATGATTCTTAATAATTAAAGCACAGTGAGGCAAGAGAAATCCCTGTGTGTCCACATCTGAGTGACAAACAATAGGGTTAGCATCTCTGCAAAAGGAAAGCAACACCCTAACATGTCTGGCTCTTCTACCTGTCCACTGACATGTCCTCCGAGAGCAAACTGGAAGGCTTGTCCGCAGCCAGCTCTACAGTCCCTGGGCACAGACCTGCAGCCATAGGAAGAGCTTAGGGTGCTGGGTGCCCTGGGGCCAGCCCCGTCCCCTTCCCCCCCAGTTTTCCATAAAGGTAACTCCTGGTCTCAGACAGGCTGCCTGAGGTTCGAGGTGACGGCACTTTACACAGACGGGAGGTCAGTTACTGAGGTGGCCGTGGGGCTCCATCAGCTCAGTCCCTGCTCTGTGCCCTCCTCAGGCCCACAGGCCGGGTTGCTCTCAGGCAGAAGCTTCAGCAAACCCCAGAGTGGGGTGGGGTGGGGTGTTTTGGGACATTTTGACTGTTCCCTCCCTCTCCTGGCATCAAGAAAACGGGTTAGTGATGCCAAGAAGGAAGGGGGAGGGAGGGAGGG